AAAAAAAACGAGGATCCCTGTTTGGTCTGCAGAGGAAGGAAAGTGCGGATCCTCGGGTGGGCATGGAAGCACCAGGTAACAACCAGATGCCAATCCAGTGTAGATCTGGTTGCGGGTTCTTTGGGACTACAGCTACAGACGGCTACTGCTCCAAGTGCTACAAGGACTACTTGAAGCGGCATCAGGCGCCGCCGTCTGCGAATCCTTCAACCGCCTCCTCGTCGTCCGTGTCTTCCGGGTTCTCGACCGAGTCCAGGATGGAATCGCCCGTGATTCCTCAGGGCTCTCCTACAAGTGTGAGTGAGATTTTTTTTTTTTTTAAAGGAAATTGTGTGTGTGTGTGGGGAATAGTTTTATTTTCCGTCACCAATTTGTGATACTGTTTGTGCTTTCGCATTGATGTGGAATTATTTGAGTCCCGCGTTTTTACTTGGGAGGCTTCTTCGAGGCACGATACTTGGCCAAGGGAATTTTCTTACATTTGTTTATATGTCGCCTGAATATTTTCTTGGTTAATTTCAAAGTAGATTTTCGTTATAGCGAATAATCGCTTACAACGAGTTCGTTTTTTAAGGTCCCTGTCCTAAATCCACGGTGTTATTTCTGTTTCTGTAGCACATATTTTTCGTTGTATCAAAGTTATCTTACTGGTCCCAATGGGTTTGATGTAACGAGATTTTAATTTATATACAGTACATTTGAACCTCGATAAATCGAATACTTCCCTATGTCAATTTTTTTGTCCATTTCCTTGTCTGCATTCCCTTGGAATCAATGCATCAAAAGCCACCCTAACTCAAAAGACTTTTCCCCGGAAACCTCCATAATTTGAATTTACTTTAGGCCTTTCGTCTATTACTTCATTGACACAGGAAAGAAAGTAGCAATAAAAATGTGAATTTATGTGTTTTTTAAGAGAAATGAGACGAATTTGGTAAATGAACAGTTGCCTCTACTTCCAGCATCCTGTCAAATCATTAGGGAGCAATTAAAAGCGCAGAATATCCCCGATTACAATTTCCTGAAGTTTTTCCTTCTCCCCAACAAAAATGCTTCTTTCTTCAACTCGAAACTTCCCCGAGTCGATTTTGTTCTGCTGGTCCCTCAAAGTTCAACTGTTTATCCTGATTAGCTGTTAGATATCACCCAAGCTGAGCTGTTGTACTTGAATTAACTTCTGTTTTCATGGCTGTTCAACAGATGCAGAAGGAAGACGACACGAAGGGGCATTCGGAAGAAGTTGCCAGTGCAGCAGCAGTAGCCTGTGCAGACATAATCGATGAGGACATTGCCAACCGTGCTGCAGAAGCTACCTCTAGTGC